AACTATAAATCAAGAAGCTAATCAAAGTTTTTATAGGATAAAGAAATCCATGTGAAGACATATCACAGTGAAATTTCTTAAAACTGAAGACAAAAAAATCTTTAAAAAGCAAAAGAGAATTAATTATATTTTATGTATAGAGAAAAAGAATGCAAATGACTGTGGAAAACATCGGGGGCAGAAGAAAATGCCACATTATTCAAGTGCTGACAGAAAAGAAAAAAAGCAACCCTGTCAACTCAGAATCCTATATTCAGCAATGGTAGTATCCTTTAGAAATGATGTAAAAATGAGAACATTTTCATATGAAGCAAAACTACTGCAGGCTTACCCTAAAGAACAGTTAAACAGAGCTCTAAAAACAAAACAACAAAACAAAAGATAAAAGAGGAAATCTTGGAACATCAGGAAGGAAGAACAATAGAAAAAAATAGAAATACAGATAAATATAATAGATTTTTTTCTCTTCACTTTTCTAAATTACTCTAACTTATTTTAAATTTGATGATTTAAGCAAAAATTATAATACTTTATGATGTGGTTCTTAATGAGAGACTCTGTTTAGGTTTTTTTGGGTTTAGTCTATTTCTGTTGTTCAGATTGTAAAATTTCTCTTGTTCTGTTCTCAATGAGAAACTCTTTAAGACAATTATAAATGGGGGAGGGTAAGGGAACTTAAAGGGAGATCAAATTTCTACATTTAATTTAAACTGATAAAATATGACACCAACAGACTTTGATAAGTTATGTGTGTATAACAGAATATTTAGAGCAACCAATAAAACAAATCTATTCAAAGAAATATACTCAAAAACACTACAGTGGTTTCTTGGTATCCTCAGGAGATTAGTCCCAGACCTTCTCCCATACCAAAATCCCATGGATTTGCTCACGTGATGTGTATGTATATATAATCTTTGCACATCGTCTGGTATAATTTAAATCATCTCTATATTACTTATAATACTGGTAATACCTACTATAATGTCAATGCTATGTAAATATTTGCTATACTATATTTTTTATTTATAATAGTTTTATTGTTGCATTATTTATTGCCCCTAAATATTTTCAATCCACAGTTGGTTGACTCCAGGGATATGGAGGGCCAACTATATGGGAAATCATATACAATTTACATTAAAAGTAAGTGTCTGGGCCGGGTACGGTGCCTCATGCCTGTAATCCCAGCACTTTGGAAGGCTGAAGTAGGCAGACTGGTTGAGCCTAGCAGCTCAAGACCAGCTTGAGCAAAATGGTGAAACCCCATCTCTACAAAAAACACAAAAATTAGCTGGGCATGGCAGCACACGCCTGTAGTTCCAGCTACTCAGGAAACTGAGGCAGGAGGATCACCTGAGCCCAGGAGGTCAAGGCTGCAGCAGTGAGCCGTGATCATGCCACTGCACTCCAGCATGGGCAACAGAGTGAGAGCCTGTCAAACCAAAAAAAAAAAAAAAAAAAAAAAATCAAAAACAAAAAAGTAAATTTCTGAACATGACATACCAATTAAAAGAAACTGGCTGACTTAAATAAATGCTGTGTCTAAGAAACTGAATTCAAAATCACAACATATATATGGTGAAAGTAAAAGGATGGAAGAACACATACCTTGAAAACCTTAATAAAATGAAAGTAAGAATGGCTATATTAATATCGGGTAAAGGAGACTTTAGATAAAAAAAGATTACGAGGTAGGTGGATCACCTGAGGTTAGCAGTTAGAGACGAGCCTGGCCAACACGGTGAAACCCCATTTCTACTAAAAAATATATATACATACATATAAACTAGCCAGACATGGTAGTGGGCGCCTGTAATCCCAGCTATTTGGGAGGCTGAGGCAGGAGAATTGCTTGAACCCAGGAGACGGAGGTTGCAGTGAGCCAACACAGTGCCACTGCACTCCAGCCTCGGTGACAGAGTGAGACTCCGTCACAAAAAAAAAAAAAAAAAAAAAAAAAATAGGGACCGAGAAAGACATTACATAGTGACAAGATGGTCGACCTGCCAAGAAGACATAGCAAATTTAAATGCATAAGCAGCAAAGAACAGAGGTATAAATATATAAAACAAATACTAATAGAACTAATAGGAAAAATAGATAATAGATATATCATAATTGTACCTGGAGATTTCAAAACCCCTCTGTCAATAAGTGATAGAAGTAGGTAGAAAATCAGCAAGAATATAGAAGAATTCAACAATACTGTCAAATAATAGGATCTAATTTACAGAACACTCCACCCAACAGCAGAATATATATTCTTTTCAAACATCATGGAACATATATCAAGACAGAACATGCCCTAGGGTCCTTAAACTTCAATGAGTCTGAAAGAATGAAAATTATACAGTGTGTTATGTGAGCACAGTGGTATCAAACTAAAAATCAGTAACAGAAATAAAACAGGAAAATCTTTAAGAACTTGGAAACTAAATATAGCACTTCTAAATAACCCATGGGTCAAATAGGAAGTTTCAAAAGATACCCCCAAAAAACACTGAATTGGATAAACATGAAAGTGCAACATATCAAAATTTGTGGGACACAGCTGAATCAGTGCCAAGAAGGGAATTTAGAGCACTAAATGCTTCCAGTAGAAAAGTGAAAAAGTCTCAAACCAATATGCTTTCATCTTAACAAATTAGGAAAAAAGAGCAAAGTAAATTTAAAGCAAGCAGAAGGAAGAAAATAATAAAGAGCAGAAACCAATGAAATTGAAAACAGAAAAATAACAAAAACTAAATGAAACAAAAAGCCAGTTATTTGAAAGATAATTAAAATGAACAAACCTGTGGCAAGGTAGATTATCCAATAGATAATTTGAATAGCCTTGTAAGTATAAAGGAAATTAAACTTGGAATTTACAGTCTCAAAAAATAAATCTCCAGGTCCAGATGGTTTCACTGGAGAATTCTACTAAACATTTAAGGAAGAATTAACACCAATTCTACACAATCTTTTCCAGAAAGCAGAAGCAGAGTAAACATGTCCCAACTCATTTTATGAGGCCTGCATTACCTTGATACCGAAACAAGACAAGGACAAAGGGGGGGGGGGGGAAAAGGAAACCAACAGAACAATATCCCTCATCAAAACTAATGCAAATAGGCCAGACACAATGGCTCACGCTTGTAATCCCAGCTACTCAGGAGGCTGAGGCATGAGAATCCCTTGAACCCAGCAGGTAGAGGTTACAGTGGGCTAAGATCACGCCACTGCACTCCAGCCTGGGTGACAGAGCAAGACTCTGTCTCAAAAAAAAAACCAAAACAAAACTGATGCAAATATACTCAACAAATATTAGTAAATGGAATTCAGTAACATTTTTAAAATCATACATTATGACCAAGTGGGGTTTAATTTCAGGGATGCAAGGCTGGTTTAATATTTAAAAATCTATGTAATTCACCATATTAACAGGGCAAATAAGAAAAGGACATGATCATAAAAGATACTTGACAAAATTCATAAAAGGTATTTGACAAAATTCAACATCTATCTATGATAAAACTTTATATAATCCATAACAGAAAAAGTAGATAAATTGGACTTTATTAAAATTAAAAATTTTTGCTCTATGAAAGATCCTATTAAGCAATTGAAAAGGCAGAGTCAGGAGCAGTGGCTCAAACCTGTAATTCCAGCTCTTTAGAAGGCTGAGGCAGGAGAATTGTTTAAGTTCAAGACCAGTCTGGGCAACAGTGAGAACCTGTCTCTACCAAAAGAAAAAACAATTAAAGATAAACAAGAAAAGACAAGCTACGGACTGGAAGAAAATATTTGCTACTCACATATCTGACAAAGGACTTTTATCTAGATATATGAAGAACTCTCCAAACAGCAAAAACACCCAAATGATCCAATTAGAATATGGGCAAAACTGAAGAGAGAATTTACTGAAGAAGATAGGAGGGCAAACAAGCACACACACAAAAAGATGTTCAACATCATTAGCCATTAGTGAAATGCAAATTAAGACTGCAATGAAATGTCACTATACACATATTAGAAGAGGTAAAATAAAAATTAATGACAATACCAAATGTCAATAAGGATGTGGAGAAAAGAAACACTATATAATAACAAAATAGCAATTTAGCTTTTCAAGCACTGTTCTTACGAAGAATTGTTAAGGGAAGAACAGCCCACATGTGGATAGGTTTATGAGAGTTTGTCATTCAACAGGTCATGCTTCATGGCCAGAAAGGGTTAAATTTAGAAGACTCCCATCACTTGTTATATTTTATATTATGGCAGGTAGACATAAATTTGGAATGATGACAGCTAATCTCACTGCTTTACAATCTAATTCCACACCTCGAAATCTCAAGCTTTTACTTAATGCCTAATATTGTCCACAATGATATCAAACAGCAAAGGATTCTGCATAATGGTAAGATCATTTTAAAATGTCTTTGGAACCCAGCAAAAATTACACTAGACTGCTCAGAAATAGATATTCTAAGCTATCAGTTTGGAAGACAAGGTAATCTTTGAAGTCTTTCAAAGAATAAAGGGGAATTTACTTAGTAGACATAACTGATATGCATCTTGAGCAAGCCAAGATCCAGAAGAACCTCTGGTTTTACACATCTGCTATAGTAATACAGCAATTTTACACTGTGTTCTCCAAACTACAGACATTGCTAAAAGAAGAGGCAGGACTCGGCCGGGCATGGTAGCTCACGCCTGTAATCCCAGCACTTTGGAAGTTCTAGGCAGGTAGGGTAGATCAAAAGGTCAGGAGTTCAAGAACAGCCTGGCCAAGACGGTGAAACCCCATCTCTACTAAAAATACAAAACTTAGCCAGATGTGGTGGCGGGCGCCTGTAATCCCAGCTACTCAGGAAGCTGAGGCAGAGAACTGCTTGAACTCGGGAGGCAGAGGCTGCAGTGAGCTGAGATTGTGCCACTGCACTCCAGCCTGGGCAATAGGGCAAGACTTCGTCTCAAAATAAATAAATAAATAAATAAAAAGAACAAGCAGCACTCACCAATTGTAATCCAGTCGAGACTGGTGAAGCTGTTGCTGTTTTAGAAGAAGCTTTGTCTCCTGCTGGGCCAGCAGATGCTGAAGACGTTCCTTTTCAATTTCCAGCTCCATTTTCTGAAGCATCAGTTGCTGCTTTCTATCTTCTGAGATCTGCTTTTTCAAAGTTTCATTTGGTTGCAGCGCCCCTCCACCATGCAACAGAGACGCCCAAGAAAGCCCACAATAACTGCATGATTCTGGATGTGTCTTAGGATGTTGAGGGGCCGTGTTTGTAGAATGGCTCTCATGAACATGATCTGCAGCAAGTCTATGACCACAGCATTGAGTAGGAGTAGGCTTAAGGTGTGGACATTCCTTCATGTGCAATTCTTCTTGTGGCATTTTCTCTGTTGGGACTGCATCTACTGGTTTTCTCCCTGGAGATTCATAATGACATGTTGTGGTCTCTGATGGTATCTTACCTAGATCATCTTTGGGATGATGAAGGGTTACTGGTTTCAAAGAATTATTCCTAAATGCTATAAGGGATTCTGAAGCTGAATCCTGGATTGCAGACTTAGGTCTTTGCTTGGTTTGATAGTAGGTCTGCGGTCTGGCTACACTCAAGTAGGAACCACCCAGTTCCACAGATGAACACTGGAGAGTGCTTTTTCTACTGGATACCTAGAAAGAACCACAAGATCACCTGTCAAATAAGAACACAATAAAACAAGTTCTTTCATTCAGTTTTTCAGAAATCAGTGATATATGTTTACCAAGCCAAAGCTGTTGTTTTGTCTTAAATATTAAATTGTAGCGTTCACACAGTTAAACAGACTTGTGCCCCAAAGCTACATTCATTATCAAACAATCTACACTTCAGTAAATCCATATAAAGATAAGAAAAATAAGTTGCTGCTACATGTTGCTTAAGCAAGATCTTTGGTGATTTCAGGAGTTGCAAATAATGAGAGTTACATAAAATCAATTTTGAGAAGAGGTAAAAGCCTTAAACATTAACATCTTAAAATGTTTACTTTTGAATACTGAGCCAAGAAATCCATTCAGTCACCTTAAATATTCTTTGGCCATTACACAGCATGAGACTTGATGTAAAACATTTCACCTTATACTGAATAGAATGTGACTTACTGGTAGAACTTTGATGAGGTTTTATAAATATCTTTACAGAACACAGATAAAACCAACCACTTTCAACAAAATAGGATTCTAATCAAAAACAGTTAAATACAAAAAATATTTAATTTCATCTATAAACATAAGTGATTTTTCAATTAATCTATTCAAGTGATTAGTCTGATAGAATTTGGGCAGAAAGGAAGCAGTTGCAAATTATCTCTGACATGTCAATAGAGTCAGATTTTCCAACATTTTAGCTGTAAGTCTATTCTATTGGTGAGAACAAAACTTAATCTATATCAGTGATTCTCAAACTTTAATGTGTAGCAGAATAACCTGGAGAGTGTTTGTTAAACATGAAACTATAGCTTAATCCCCAGAGTTTCCAAGTCTTTCTGTCTGGAGCAGACTCAGAGAATTTGCTCATATTGCTGATCTGGGACCACACTTTGAAAACTGTTGGTCTGTATCATGGAACATCTCCATCTCCCTTACTGTTGAGCTTAGCCTGGGAAGGTTGAGTTGTTATACTTAGCTCATCTCTGAACATTAGTATGACTAAGCAGCTTTTCTTCACAGTGTATTTCAGAAACATGGTATATCTAGATTCCAGGTTGTCCAAACAGAAATATTATAGTTTAATGTAAATGTTGTGTGTGTTACAGATGAGCAACTTGCCCATGAAGGTGGACACTTGTAATTAACAAAATAATAATGAAAGATAATGATCAGACTCTTTCAAGGGCAGCCCTTTATAACATAAAAACTTCCCCTCAATTTAGATCTAGAGCACAGCAAAAAAGAGCCTCCAAGTCCAATTACTTAACTAGCAAGATGGGTTGTTTGAAAACGTGTTATTCCTACCAGCTGTTATTTCTTTCGAGCAGTCAGAGTATAACCTTTAACACAAATCTGAAAGGAACAAATCCACTTGTGGAGGGAGAGGCCTTGTTTTCCAAGGCCTATTTACTCTAGATACATAGATTCAGTCTTTAGTGAAAGCTGAAGAGAAGATAAGAGAAAGAAACTAAGCAGACCTAAACAATTGAAATATCTGACAGCTTCCACTAACACTTCATCTTCCCTTAGGCTTTCATTCAAAGTCCATTTACGTTAACACTTTACTTTCCTGCCATTTTCTATTTCTATTCAAACAAATCCAAAAAATCTTCTGTGTACCGAACACTTATATTAACCAAAGAAGAAAAAATTCTTACTCTTCTATCCATATCCTTTGAAACAGTCTCACTTTTCATGCACAATTATTTGAATGCTAAGGGAATCTCATTTGCTCAATGCTGCAACAGAAATACGACTTCTTCAGTAAACAAATATATTACAACTTCTGTATTAGTTTCCTACTGTGGCTATAACAACTTAGCACAAACTTTGTGGCTTACAATAACACAAATGTATTATCTTACAATTCTGGAGGTCAGAAATTAGAAATCTGTTTCACTGGGCTGAAGTCAAGATGTTGGGAAGGCTAATTCCTTTGGCTCAGAAGACAGAATCAGCCTCCTTGCCTTTTATAGCTTCTAGTGGCCACCTGTATTTCTCACTTTTTATAGCCCTTCCTCCATCTTCATGGTGTATCACTCCAACTCCTGCTTCCATCATCATCACACATCGCCTTCTCCTCTGACTCCTTCTGCTCCTTCTCAGAAGGACCACTTAGATTTGATTGGGCCTACCTGGGTAATACAGTTAATCTCCCCCTCTCAAGAGCCTTAATCACATCTGCAAAGTCTCTTGCATTACAAAGTACCTTGTAACACATAATGTGACATTTGGGAATTAAGACATGGTCATATTTGGGGGGTGTGTATTTTCAGGCTACCATGCCTATTGTCAAATACAAAGTAATTTAAAACAATTGAAATGGCTAGCTACTCCACAGACACAAAACAAATGAATGAGAATAAATGAGATCCCTAGTATAAGGGGAGAAAAATCCCACCAATTTATTTCGCAATAGTTGCAAATGATGGACTGATGGGTAAAAAGTATCAACTAACAGAGATACACAGCTGCCATCATGTTTCTTATTCTATGATAAAAGAATGAAGGCTATTACAGTGATTAAGATTGTAACTGAATGACTGTAGTAATGCTAACGGATTTCTATTTAAATGAGAATGCGTCACATCTGAGAAGACTTGCTCTTCTTCAAAGAACACATGCAATCCCGTACAACAAACAGATGACAAGCAATAGAATGTGGACCAGTGCTGGGCAAAATTTCTAATAAGCTACTTCATAAAAAAATTAATTTATTTTACATCTAAAGGGAATCTCTAGTCCACATTAATCTCTCCTACTCTGAACTTCTACAGTACTTACTGCCAGTACATACATTTATCACCTGCTACTTAGTATGGTAAACTATCTTTTACTAGAAGGTCAGAAATTACTAGAGAGATATATATATTTCAAATGACAGCTAAGTTTTTAAAAGGTCCAGAAATTAAAATATTTTATGTTATATATTCAAATCCATATTTTATAGTCTCATTTTTGTTTCAAAACATTATTTACATATGTCCATTTTTAGGTGCTGACATATTCTACACTTACTTTAATGGTACTAATTGTGAAATTATCCACAAAATCAAATATCTGGAATAATTAAAAAATTTTTTCAGGTAATGTTTCATGTTTTTGAGAGGTAGTACAGCTTAATTATTTTAATGCACGCTTTGCTCAGAGAGCAGTGCTCTGTCAATTACCTGCTGGGTTACTATGCATGTACAATAGGCAGAATTCTAAGATGCTGCCCATGATTCTCACCCCCTAGTGTATGCAATCTTTATTATCTTCTCTCCTTGCGTGTACGGAGGACCTGTGAATATGACAGGATATAAATCCTGTGATTATATTACATTTTATGGCAAAACAGACTTCATATGTAACTAAGGTTCCTAATCAGTTGACTTTGAGTTAATAAAACCAGAGACTCTCCTGGGTGCACTTGATCTAATCAGGTAAGCCCTTTAAAAGAAGGTCTTATCCTGCTCCCTCATCCCAGGTTGGAGATTCTCCTGCTGGCCATGAAGAAATAAATTGCGATGTTGTGGGAGGGCCAATCAAGTGGCAAAAACACCTGGAGCAGAAAGCAGTCTCTGGTCAACAGCTAGTAAGTAAATGGGACATCCATCATACAGATGTAAGAAATTAACTTCTGCCAACGACCATGTGAATTTGGAAGAGGACCTTGAGTGCCAGATAAGAATGTAGCCCAGCTGAACTTTAATTGCAGCATTGTTAAGAACCTAAGCAGAGGACCCAACTAAGTTGTGCCCATACTCATGACCCACAGAAACTGTTATGAGGTAATAAATCTGTGTAGCTTTAAATTACCAGGTTAGTGGTAATCTGTTACACAGCACTATAAAACTAATATAGCACCTTAATCAAATTGCCTAAGCCTCAGGTTCCTCACCAGTAAAATAGGGATTAAGAAAAGCATCTATTTCAAAACTGAATGTGGTGGTGAGAAAGATGGGCAGTTATCAAGGGTACCAATTTATAAAAGTCCAATTTACAAAAAAAGAAAAAAACCCACTCATATTTCTTTCAAGGAGAACATTGTATGTGGTGTGTAGATGAGGTGGGGGAGAAATCCCCAAAGGGCATGTTCAGTTACAACAGGTTACATCTAAACTTCTTCTAAAGTGAATGAGTTCAGTAACTTACCTTTATTATGCTAAAGTTGAGTTTGCAAGTCAGGCCAGAATTGAATTGCTTGAGATAACAGAGAAGTTACTCATTTTTCTCTTTCATACAAAAGATGTCACTCTTACGCTAACATCTTGCACTGCCTTTTAGGGTTCTTGTAATGATTAAATGAAGTAATTCATACAAAGTGTTTGGACCATGTCTAGGTTAGTATTCAAAAGAATGTTTCCCATTATTATTATTAGTAGTATGATTCTTGTCATTGAATTCTGACTCAACAATTTTGAAGGCAAGAGCTGTATTTATCCCTCTGTATGCATTGCACTGGGGCTTGCACACAGACATTCTCAATAAGCATAGTCTGCTATATAATCTTAACAGAAAAATTCAAGATGGGGTATGGGTCACAGTAACTAAAGGAAGAGGATGAGAATAGAAATTGAAAACCCCCTGTAAGAATCTGAATATAAAAAGTTAAGCTATTTTATTAGTAGAGTTGAAGACAGATGCTGCCTTTAGGACACAAGGAAGTAACAATGGTCCTGAATGAAAGAGATGTATTTTTCTTTCTGGAGCTGCTCCAGGATTTCTATACTTGCAAATATAACATCTCTTAACTAAGGCTTAAACCAACGCAAACTCCCAAATGGCTGCCTCTGACATATGGGTTTAATATGATTGTTTTCCGAGATACAACACTAACTTAGAAACCAAATTTTTTTTAAACATTGAGGCATAATTTACAATAAAATGCAAAGATCTTCAGTGTACAGCTTGGCGAATTTTTGTATTTGTATCTATCTGTGTAACCACCACCTAGATCCAGTTATAGAACATTTCCATTACTCCAGAAAGTTCCCTTGTGT